CCTTGGGCGTCCTCACGGATGCCCTCCCCTAGACTTGTCGCATCGGCAGCTGTTTTCACTTCGGTTTCCGCTGCCTTTTTCTTCTGGTCTTTCTTGACCAGTTCTTCAAGTCGGGTTGTAGCTTCGGTCATCTCGCACCTCATCACAGCCACCATCTGGTGGAAGGGGTCCATGTTTTTTTTCAAGCAATGCTAATCACACGTGCACAATGGTTTTGTTTTGTTTTTTGTTTTACAAGGGTTAGTACCACACTTGGTCAACGGGTACAATCGATTTACACAGAAAAAAGAATGCACGAACAATGAATTTTATTTAGACGGTAAAAACAATGACTTCAATAGTTGAAAGCGAATTCTTTGGCTTTTGCCTTTCGCTTCCTTGCTCGCCCCCTTTCCCACGTCGGGGCGGGGGGTAGCTTTCTGAAAAAAGTGGCGTACCTGGCTTTTTGATCCATATATTACTTCGATATTAGAATAGAATCATTAGCCGACGCACCATTTCTCGGATTTATAATTGTGGTAGAATATTTGCAATGCAGTTGCTGGTGGAACTCTCCCTTCGACGTAGCTGTTTATTTTCAGGGATGGTCCCTTTTGGGTTGAGATTGGAAGTGAGCTCTTGCTCCGAGGGCCCAGCCCGGAGGCCCCGGTCGATAACCGGGTCCCGCCTCCGTGCCGGCAAGTGTTCCTCAAAAAAGAGGGGCACCTGCGTCACCCCTTTCGCGTCGAGCCCAAGGCTCCTTTCCTCTGTGAGGAAGTAATTTGTAAAAGAGGGAAAGAAAGGAGCCTGTCACCGTAGGCCGGTCACATTAAGCTGAAAAATAGATTAAAAAATACGATTCTAAAAAGGTTACAGATAATTATGGCAAAGAACCAATTTTCAAAATAGGGACACAGATTAGGGTTTTAAAAATATTTATTCTGCGAAATATGGTGAAGAAAGAGCAATGGAAACAACAAATCATATAGAAAGCAACAACAATAACAATAACAACAAAAAAAATCAACAATGACAAAAGATTTTTATTTGAGGACTTCTTCGTAAACGACGTTCTTCATCTTGTTGTCCTTGGCCATTATCGAGACACCTTTGCGGCTCCGTACTCTCGAGAGAGCAACATAAAGCTGGCCGTGTGCAAAGATTTCTTCGTGTTACCTTGCTATGCCGACCTTTTCGAATGATTGCCCTTGACTTTTGTTGATGGTCATTGCAAAGCTCAGCCGAACCGGAAATTGGCGTTGCTTCAGCACGAATGGTAGTGTGGCTTTGTCATAAAGGCAATCAATTCGGGGGATTAACACTTTTTTGCCTCTCCTGCTACCCGTGGCAATTGTGCAGAGGAGAATTCTGGCTCCGATTTGCTCGACAATCAGCCTTGTACCTATACATGAGTCTTGGCGAAGCCGAAGTTCACGCTGGTCAGTCAGATAATAATTTAGCCTATTCTGTTCAGACTTGGCGAAGGCATCCACGTAATATTGTTGGCAAAGTTTGCCGCCGTGGGGGATGGGATTGAAGCCTTGCCTGACGAACATGTTATAGGCGAAATATTCTCTTTGAGATACCCGGTTCGGCGGACCGTCATCGGCGATAGCCGGCTCGTCATCGTCAGAGTTACCACGACGGCCAGCATTTGCCACTTGCTTCGGAATGTTAGGGTGCCATCCCTCTCCACCCCGAGGGAAGAAGAGAGGATAACAGAGTGGTTCGCACTCTTTCTGCAAGTAATGGATCTGCCTGAGGCCGCCGTCTCGCTCGTGAGCAGGGTTGGTCATTTTTGACCCGGACCCGGACCCGGTCCGGACCCAGGGGGTCCGGGTCCGGGTCCGGACCCGATCAAATTTGCATGGGTCCGGGTCCGCGTCCGGGTCCGGGTCCGGGTCCGGGTCCGACCCGGGTCAAAAATGACCAACCCTGCTCGTGAATATAGAACACGCGCTCGCCGGGTATCGACTCATCGTCACCAACGTAAACAACGGCAATCTCATTGGATGTGGGCGCATTGAACCATCTTTGGTCGTCCCTTTTATCTGTTCGAAACACCAACTGCGCTGAGAGAGCTTCTCGCCCATCGGCAGCTGCTTGATCAGACTCCTCTTTGGACACCTCTGCCATCATCATCAATGATTGAACATAGATATTGACGTTTTGTAGGAGGAGGTGGAGGTTGGCAAAGAGGCCTTGATCGCAGTGCCGATTGATGGCACGACCGGCTAGCTCGTTGGCCGCTTGCTCGGTGTCCATTATGTATATTTGGGCATACTGGGCTTGCTCTCCAGGCTGTGGTCTCATAGGGCCGACCAAATGGTACACTGCTCCATGGATCCGATAAGGCCGTGGACCTCTTCCGGGCGGAGCATCCATTTGGGCCGTCATTGAAGCCATAGCTAGACCGCTATTGTAATTTCGAATGTTCGCCCGAAAATCTTTCGATTCTCGAGTATCCCCTTTGTAAAGATCTTCCAATTCCTGGCGGAAATTGTCGAACAACGAAATAGTGATTTTGCCATGGCCACAACACGAATGGAAACTGCCGCTCGGGGATTTCGTTTCGACTGCGTAATGCAAGGCGCCACAGCAGCTGCAAGGTATGTCCGGCTTGCCAAGATAGTGGACGGGGGGAAACGCATCCGGATTCCGAGCAGCACCTGCGCGCGCAGCAGCCGTCTGGCGCCGTTGCTGCCGGTGAGCCGCGGTACGAATAGATTTGCCCCCGGACGCAATACTCTTTCGGATGAGGATTCTCGGTGCCGTAAACTTCCCGTGGATATCGCATTTCGATTAAGACGCTCCGAACGCCGTGACGGCGATTCTCTGGAGCGCCTTGCCGCTACGCGCGCGGCCCGAGCGGTATTCTGGTTCGAACGTTCACTTTCATTCAACCTGGATTCCTGCAACCTTTTAGCGTATAGGTCTTTGGTTTGCCGCGCGGCTTGCTCAGCTGGACTTTCCTTTGCACGCCGCATCCTCACCCGGGCAGCTTCTTGCTTCCGCAAGCCTCATCGGTCGCCGTAAAACGACGCGCCAAACGCACTGAACCTTGCGAGACCCCATTGCTCGACTGCGAATCGGACAGATCTTCGAGATTCTGTCGGCTGACAATGGGACTGGGCTCTCTTGTGCGAATGGCACCCGACATCCTTTGCGACTTCAAGCGCGAAGTGGGCGTGACGTTAGCTAAATCGTCAATGGGTTGTCCTTGAGAATACGTTGCTTCAGGAGTTCCTTCAGAGCTTTTGCGAGGCGGCGTTGATGCTCTTCAGGCGCCTCCCTGGCACGTATTTCCCTGAGACTTCCTTCCTTCTAAGATTATAATAAGATGGCTAAGATTATAAAACCTTAGCGGTAATATTTCACTGAAACAGATGAAAGAGACGTTTGTCCAAGCACTGGTCAAGGATTGCGAGCATTTTTTTTCCGATAAACAAGGAAACGCGCTAAAAACGCCCGTTTCGGCTCGCCGAGCCTTAATCCCGACGTAGAATTTGTTAATCATAAAGTGCCCGATATTCTCATTGACGTTTAAGCCAGGGCGAATAGGCTGACCAAATCAAAAATCAATTTCAAGGGGTCGACACCTAACCAGCAGCTTGTCTTCTTCGAGGAATCGAGCCTTTCTTTGGCCGACAAAAGCCGTTTTAACTCGGATTCAACCGGGAAACGGCGGCACAACTCGGCGCGGCACGTGTCAATTAGCGTCTCCATGCGTTTGAGTCTGTACGATAAACGGTTAACCGTTTTTGAACGATAATGGCTACCGCTACCGTAACTCTGCCCCCATTATTCTTCTTTGATGAGAACGGGGGGTTGTGTTGTGCCATTAATAGAGAAATCTCTCCGGATCAGCACCTGAAGGCTTCTTGCAACCGGTAAACTGCATCCGGTCGGCCTTAACAACATCACATCTTTCTGAACACGGCTAAATCAGTCAAACACGGCTTTGCAAGCGGATTCGAGGCGATTTTGGCCAAGAAACGGGTCGCGCTGTTGCGTCACGTGCCGCGCCGAGTTGCGCCGCCGTTTCCCGGTTGAATCCGAGTTAAAACGGCTTTTGTCGGCCAAAGAAAGGCTCGATTCCTCGAAGCAGACAAGCTGCTGGTTAGGTGTCGACCCCTTGAAATTGAGTTTTGATTTGGTCAGCCTATTCCCCTGGGCTTAAACGCCAATGAGAATATCGGGCACTTTATGATTAACAAATACGTCGGGATTAAGGCTCGGCGAGCCGGAACGGGCGTTTTTTAGCGCGTTTCCTTGTTTATCGGAAAAAAAATGCTCGCAATCCTTGACCAGTGCTTGGACAAACGTCTCTTTCATCTGTTTCAGCGAAATATTACCGCTAAGGGTTATTGAAAGAGTTTCTAACAACCTGATATCGATTTCCGTATTTTAAGAATTTTTACATAGAGTGCCTTTATAATTATGAACGTTTTCCAAACACCATTTTCGACAAAAAGCCTCACAGAGAAAAGGCTCGCCCTAGAATGTAAAAATGGATTTGATATTTGAATTTGAGGTGTAATTGGGGTATTTTCTGCAAAAGAAAGCTTTTCCTGAAACCCGCTAGAAATTGAGATTTTTCAAAAAAATTCGACTGCCTTTATAATTATGAACACTAGTGTACAGGGTGGGCCAAGCAAAAAGTACAGATCTGGGTCAAAATAATTCGCGAACGGTAGAGAATTGAAGGAGCGTTACCATGCCAGAATGCTTAAATATGCTGGGTATGAAGATTCAACACAACTTGATTTTTTCGATTTTTGAGTACGAAACTGTACTATTGACGCTGGTTACGACCGAAACTTGTGCGTTTTTGACCGGGTGGTGGGGAAATTTTAATTTTGGCTCATAAATCGCTTTAATTTATTGAAACGTAATCGCAAAATCTTAGAATTTTCCTATGAATTTTTATGAATCCAACGGATTATCTACACGAGGATTAAGATAAGATATCATTTTGAGAGGATTTTAATGAAGTAGTTAGGTTAGTAGTTTCTGTTTAGTTTCGTTGTCTATGGCTACATTCCGGTTATCGACGACGATCTAATGGTTTGGAATCTGACGGCCCACCCCGAGTGAGTTAATGCAAATTAATTTTCTACTATACAGGGTGTCCCAAAAAAGGCACCCGTAAGTGTGTGTGTGTGTGTGTGTGTGTGTGTGTGTGTGTGTGTGTGTGTGTGTGTGTGTGTGTGTGTGTGTGTGTGTGTGTGTGTGTGTGTGTGTGTGTGTGTGTGTGTGTGTGTGTGTGTGTGTGTGTGTGTGTGTGTGTGTGTGTGTGTGTGTGTCTGTGTGTGTGTCGTGTGTCTGTGTGTCTGTGTGTGTCTGTGTGTCTGTGTCTGTGTCTGTGTGTGTGTCTGTGTGTGTGTCTGTGTCTGTGTCTGTTTGACTACCTTTATCCGACCCATATCTGTCTATTTGGTGGCAGTGAAACGATCTTCTTCGGCCACCGCGTGCGCGCAAATGGTGTGCCGGGCTTAGATCAAACGTGGCCAGCCTTATATTCCGAGGAACGACTTGACGGTAAGGATCGGGGCAGCTGGGTGCCCTAGCTTAAAATGCTTATAACTCGCCTTTATTAAACGGACGTTGAGCGCCTGAACTTAGCTTACAAGGAGTCGTTTTTAGGTGCTTTTGGAGTTTCTGGTTGGGACCTAGCTAGTTCGGTAGAGAAAAAAATTCTGAGCAACATCCCGTTTTAAAAAAGTGCTGATCGATAAAGGTGTTTCAGAAAATTTAATTTAATTAAAAAATGTTCCCGGTATCCGGACCCTTGTGGTGATTTGAGGTGATTTGCGGCCGTGGACCGCGCCTGCCACTTGGGGACTTCACGTGCCCTGGATCCCGTTCAAGGCATGGCCAAGTGGCTAGTGCGTTGGCCTATGAAGTTTTTTTTGGCGTTTGCCACAAGTTCGATTCTTATTTATCGTTAACTTTTTGCTTTTTTGCTAATTAAAATTTTATGCGCCGATATCGGGTTTAAGAACCAAAAAGCAAAGGGTTAGCCAGCGCGAAGATTCGAACCCGAGGCAAAAAAAATGTTAAAAAGTTGGTAGGCAAGCGCGCTACCAATAGGCCAATGCAACCTGTGATGGAGGGCTTGGCGGAATATTATGAATGGCGCCTTGCACAGCCCCGAAAACGACGTGATCCGAGGAAATGAACCCGAAAACTAAAAAAAGCGCGAACTTTAAATTAAATTTTCTAATATTCCTTTATCGATCAGCACTTTTTTTGAAAATGGTATGTATCGAACTAGCTAGGTCCCGTCCAGAAACTCCAAAGCACCTAAAAGCGACTCCTTGTTAGGCTTCGTTTACACTTCAACCCAATGCCAAATCTGTATATATCTTAAACCAGTGGAAAAGGTCCGCTTCGCGGCCCTTTTACACTGGACCCCGTCTAGGAACCATGAATCTGTATCGCTTCATTTTGCCTGCGGTGCAAGAACCTGATTCAGGCCATTCTTTGGCCTGCGGCGCCAGAGCCAGCGTTGCGCTAACCTTTGAGTCTGCGACGCTAGCTGCTGCTTTTTTCCGAATTTAGCCTGCGGCGCGAGAGCATGTGTCAAGGACTTTTTCTTTGGCCTGCGGCGCAAGAGCCTAGGTCAACGACCCATCCTTGGCCTGCGGCGCGAGAGCCGGCGCGAAGGGCCTTTTCCTTGGCCTGCGGCGCCAGAGAGAGAGTGAGAGCCATGCCAAACCGCGCACACCGAGAGTCTAGAAATATGTTTTGTTGCTGAATTACCAAAAAGCAAAAAGGTTATTTCATCAAGGATCCGAACTCGAGACCTTGCGCGTGGTAGACCGGGCGCTAATCCACTACACCACGCGGCACGTGTATAGGGGCGGCGGGAGGGCCTCTTTGGTCCTGGGGAGGGGCGGGGAGGCAACGAAAGGGCCGACCCAATGCCCCGTGCGAGAGGCCTTCTGGCCACTTTTCAAAGTTCCATTTTTGAGTCTGAATCCGCTGAAAATCTGTAAAGATAATCAGATGCGCGTGATCCCCGCTATCGAATACATACTTTGTATAAATTACAGCCTGAAATTCCATCAGGGCTTCGAGTTATGACCTGTACAACGCGGCCCGTAACACAATTTGTTAAGGATTTTTACATTTTCGCATGTAAAAACGTTAAATTAAGGAATTTCGAAAAATCAAAAAAACCGTTTTTGGCGAATGTGTTTCTCCACCTCCATGCCAAAAATCAGCCGGAAATTCGGCCCTACGGCCGAGAAACCGCCCGGACGGAAAACACACATACTTTTCTCGCTTATAGGATAGGATACTACTTATGAGCTCGTGGAAGTATGTTTCGGGGTTGACAAAAGTCAGATTGCCAAAAGGTACAATGAAACGTGGTTTTGAACGATAAAACAGTTGTTTTGGTACACGGGACAACAGCGCCGCGGCATGTCCGCGCGGCCCGTGGGCTCGCCGTGCACGGGCCGCGACTCCGCCGTGCGCGCGCCGTGGCCGCGGACCCGCCGTGCCAATGCCGCGCGCGGATTGACCGGGCAGCCGGGCCCCTCCCGTGCGCGGTCAATGCGCGCGCGCCGCGTTTTCGCCGTGCCGTCGATAGGTGTTGGAAGTACCGCACGGAGAATTTCGCGATTTCATGGCGAAATCCACAAGTTTAAAAAAAAACTCCATAGTTCAGAGAAAAATAATTATTACCTCGCCGTTTACTAAACTTTTTATCGAAATCTGTTAAGGCCTGCGATTACTAACTACTTTCATAGCTTAATCCCGTTCGTAATTTGCCTGAGAACCTCGTTCCTCTTTTGTATCCTCAACTCGTTTCGAATTGTTTCATTGTTATTGCATGCCTTTTAGATAAAAAAGTCTGGATGTCGAACCCAATTCAGGAAGGTGCTGAATGAAAGACTTCTTGCGGAAAAGGTATCGTTCATTCTAGGCTTTCTAAGTTCAAATTTAGGTTTGGTATCCTGTTCTGATGCGCCAGTCACGTCGACGGGATTCAAGCCGCCAGCCCAACGCTGCTCTATGCTTTTCACCACTAGCCTTTTTATCAAGTTATTTTACTAAAAGCTTTTTAGGCAACCGCCTCAAGGTGCCGCCGAGATGATGGGCAACGAGTGCGACGAATTTTCACATCTGCCGTCAATACTGGTCAACTTGTGTTAGCTGGGATAATACTGGTCAGTGTTTCTTGCTTAGTTGTCACCGGCACAAGGTTCCTATCTATTTTTTCCTTATGAAAAAGCTCATGGCCTGGGTGGCGTCGCTTTCAATATGGATTCAATAGGAGTTTTCCTAAGGAAAATAGGTCTTCCCTGTGCCGGTGACACCTCAAGTCTTGGCTTTCTATGTTTTTTTAGCAGACCGTTGTTTTCCGGAAGACAGGCTGCGAGACGCGAGCTGCTTCCTGCTGCCGACAATACCCGCGCATAGGAAACTGAAGACCGACCATCAAAAGAAGAAGGAGGTATCGATCGTCATCTTTTCATCAATTTTTCTTAGATTTTGCTTGACGGCATGGGCAAATACTTGTGAAAAATCAAGTTGCACGACACGCGCCACCTTGATATGCAAAGCAGACGTCCTACTTTTGGTTGGTTTTTTTTGCTAAAGTTAATTAACTTTTCAAATTAGTGCGCTTCTTTTCGCTCATGTGTGCCGTTGCTCGACGAACCTACCCGCTGAATCTGCAGTGCTACTTGTAAGTAGAGTTTAATCTACTTATATCTATTCTTTAGGGTTATGTTCGGAGTCTGTATGCAGTCGGGCCCGATGTGTGCTATTCGACGACGCGCACCACTGCCGTCGATGTTCAGGGACCAAGAAAATGTAAAAAGCAAACTTTAAATTATTATCTGTCATTTGTGAACAACCCGTGGTTTTTCTTATGTTTGTATCATTTGTTCATCCATACTCTTCATTTTTCTGTGTCTACTGTTATCTTATCGCGTATTGTGATTTCATTCAAGTTCCTGGTCGATTATTGTATGATAAACTATTGGTGGAGCAAGGTGTATCTAATTTCGATTAAATGCACCGAATACAAGGAAAAGTAAGGATCCTACCTTATATAATTTTGGCGTGTATCTTTGTGTGTGTGTGTGGATGTCAGTTTCGAGGCCCGATTTGAGGGCCTTCCCGTGGATAAAATGCCCTAATTCTCCGTCACCCGGGGGAATCGACCCTTCTGTTTCCGATGGCGTTCTCAGAATTGCGATAAAATACGAGATTACAAAGTTAAGGCCGGTTTTATTCATTTTTGGGGGTCCCTGAGGGCTAATTTGCATAATGCGAGAAAATACAAATTTCCTCATTCTCGCCAGTTACACTCGCGCGTTTGGCTGCCTCATTGGAGCTGCCTCTCATTGCCTTTGCTCCCCTTTCCCGGTAGTCACCTCGGGGGATACAAGGGTTGTTGCACGCGACCTCCCAAGCGTTTCATGGTATAGTGGTTAGAGCGTCAGCCTGCCAATCTTGATCGGGGGTTCGATCCCCTGCTATCGTATTTTTTTGCTTTTTGCTCGGAATGCATGTTTCGAAGTGTATTTTCCTGTAGGGAGGCGCTATTCTGAAGTCAGTCGCTCTAAACTCCGTCGCAGGCTAACGAATCCAGCTAGGCACTGAAGGCTAAGGATTCAGGCTAATCCCTCAAGCTAGCGCCGCAGGCTTTAGACCAAAGCTAGCCGTGCAAGCTAGCGCCGCAGGCTTTAGAACGAAGCTAGCCGCTGAAGCTAGCGCCGCAGGCTAAAGAATGAAGCTAGCCGCTGAAGCTAGCGCCGCAGGCTTTAGACCAAAGCTAGCCGTGCAAGCTAGCGCCGCAGGCTTTAGAACGAAGCTAGCCGCTGAAGCCTGCGCCGCAGGCTTTAGACCAAAGCTAGCCGCTGAAGCTAGCGCCGCAGGCTTTAGAACAAAGCTAGCCGCTGAAGCTAGCGCCGCAGGCTTTAGAACGAAGCTAGCCGCTGAAGCCTGCGCCGCAGGCTTTAGACCAAAGCTAGCCGCTGAAGCTAGCGCCGCAGGCTTTAGAATGAAGCTAGCCGCACAAGCTAGCGCCGCAGGCTTTAGACCAAAGCTAGCCGTTGAAGCTAGCGCCGCAGGCTAAAGAATGAAGCTGCCCTCTCAAACTTGCGCCGCAGGCTTTAGAACGAAGCTAGCCGCTGAAGCCTGCGCCGCAGGCTTTAGACCAAAGCTAGCCGCTGAAGCTAGCGCCGCAGGCTTTAGAATGAAGCTAGCCGCACAAGCTAGCGCCGCAGGCTTTAGACCAAAGCTAGCCGCTGAAGCTAGCGCCGCAGGCTAAAGAATGAAGCTGCCCTCTCAAACTTGCGCCGCAGGCTTCAGACCAAAGCTAGCCGCAGAAGCCAGCGCCGCAGGCTAAAGATTCAGGCTAATCCCTCAAGCTAGCGCCGCAGGCTTAGGAAGTAAGAAGGTCCTAGACGGGGTCCAGCGGGGGAGAGTCGCGAAGCGGCTCCTCCCCCGCTGGTATATTAATAGTAAAGGCATCCATGCGCGGTTCCTTGCGTGCACGGCGCGCGGTCCAGCCGTGCGCGGCGCGCGCTCCCGCCGCGCACGGCCCGTCCTGGGCCGTGCCAGCCGCGGTCAATGCGCGCGCGCACCGCGGGCAACGCGCGAACGGGCCGGTACCGGCCCGTTCGCGCAATAGCAACGGCGCGCGCGCGCAATGAACCGCGGCGCTGCTGTCCCGTGTAAGAGTCTAGGAAACCCCCCCCCCCCAGCTCCAACTTTTAAGCCATACGTCCTATTAATGCGCGGAGTATCTCAAAACGTTCGCCGTGATCGCATTACTATAAAAAAGTTGTTTTCTTGCGGCAAAAATTGCTAGAAATTTTTTTACAAGATTTTGAAAGTTGAAAAGATTAAGCCGCTGTGCTTCAATGTACCAGAAGCCGAAAACTCAAATATTTTTATTTTCCGCTATTTTTTCAACTCAAATGCACTGCAGGCTGATTCTCCAGAGCAAGAGCTACATTTTGGTACCATTGACAGCTCTGTGCGCCAAAAGATAGCCGAGATACGAAAACTTACTTTGGAACAGCAAAAATTCACTAAAAGAAACCCAGACTTATAATTGTCATAAAAGTTTTTCTAACAATTTTTGGTGTTTGGAAACAACTTTTTTATAGTAATTCGACCACGGCGAACATTTTGAGATACTCAGCGCATTAATAGGACGCATGGTTGAAAAGTTACGGCTGGGGGGTTTCCTAGACTTGAGCCGTCGTTTTCCCACTCTTTCTGCTCCTCCTACCCAATCATTTTCGCCAGGCTCCAGTAAGGAAATGACACTTTTCGGCAAAATTTATGCAAAATTGTCTCGTAAATGCAAGAATAACGAATATTTTTGATCCAAATTGCGAAGATCCCCATATTAAATTGGAAATGAAAAGTATTTTTGTTATAACTTTAAAATCCGCCGGCCGATCGGGCTGAAACTTGCCATAAACATGGGAAATCGTCTTCGCTACCTCTGTGCAAATTTTCAGCTCTCTAGGTCCCTCTGGCTCAAATTTGGGGGGTATTTTTTTGTGACACCCTGTATAGCGTCGTCTGTAGTCGTCAACAATTTGTGACAGGACTTATCTACTAACCTGATATGTTCACGCGGTGTTTTCTTGCATGATGTGCTGTTTTAGCTGAGGAAACCTATCCGTGGAACGGCGACCCGCATTACCATCCGAAGCCCCGGACATGACCTGTATGATAAATTGTCACCAGCAATCTGCAGCAAAACCTCACAACGTTTGATGTGTTCTACAGGGTGCGTCATAAAAAAGTGATGTTTGCACCGAATGATCTCGCGAACGGAAACGCTTCGGACGATGGTTTTGTCAGAATGCTTAAATATGCTGGGCATGATGAAACAACACAAGTTGTTTTTAAAGATTTTTGACGGTCGTTAAAAAGTTTATCAAAATGAAGCTCGGAGTGCGCTACCAAATGCATGGTCAATTTTATCGATCGATTTAACTTTCCGTCAATAGGCGCGTTCGGAAAATCGGGGCTTTTTGGAGCAAAAAAAAATCCAGATAAAATTTCCTTACCATCAGATCTCTCTGATATTTTGCAGTTAGCAATCTGCGATAGCTACTAACTTTTGGCATCAAGATCAAGAAGTCCGGATTTTCCGAACGCTCCTATTAACGGCTATTTAAACCTATCAATATTCTTTACCACTGGTTTGATTGCGTTTGACTGAGCTTCCTCCGGACCGCTAGAGGAAAAGGGGGGTATTTTTTCACCTTGAAGTTTCGCCAGAACGATTTATTTACAAAGGTGCAACGATAATTGGTCGGGTAGGTTCTGTGGATATTTGCCGAGGCGGGTCGAGCCATCCATCCTACAAACGAGCCGACGTGAATCCCGGGATGAAGGTGGCGTCGTAGTAACCGGACTTCTCCTGCTGGTGCTTAGCCTGAAAAGAGCTTGTTAGGACATTAGGCCGGCCCGTCTGGGGGCCGAGGTTCCGGGGGGGGGATAAAAGCAAAGCGAAAACCCAAAAGCTATTCAGCAATGGAAGCATTAGCAAATTGTGTTTTAGCAGGTCAAACGTGAAACCCGTGACTACTTGGCCCCCAAAAAGGCGGAATGGGGCTAAAGTCTAGAACGATTTCCGGCCAACTCGCCGACATTCGGCTCGCCGACAGCCAACTCGCCGACAGCCAACCCGCCGACAAGCCAACTCGCCGACAGCCAACTCGCCGACAAGCCAACTCGCCGACAGCCAACTCGCCGACAGCCAACCCGCCGACAGCCAACTCGCCGACAGCCAACTCGCCGACCCCCAACTCGCCGCCAGGTCAATGCCGCCGCATGCAATCCTAATGGGGGCCTCGGAGCGCAGACCGATCATTCATTCTCTCGCATCCATTTATTCACATCACCGATACAGTAATTCACATAATGTCATTTCCTTCCACACAATTAATTACAGGCTCTTTGCCATTTCACATAGGAAATCATAAGGATCGAAGTCATCATAGCGGGAGCAGAATTAATTGTGTGGAAGGAAATAACATTATGTGAATTACTGTATCGGTGATGTGAATAAATGGATGCGAGAGAATGAATGATCGGTCTGCGCTCCGAGGCCCCCATTAGGATTGCATGCGGCGGCATTGACCTGGCGGCTAGTTGGCTGTCGGCGAGTTGGCTGTCGGCGAGTTGGCTTGTCGGCGAGTTGGCTGTCGGCGAGTTGGCTGTCGGCGAGCTGGCTGTCGGCGAGTCGAATGTCGGCGAGTTGTCCATATACCGTCTAGAACCCCCTCCCCCCCCAGCCGACTTTTCAACATTTCGACCTTCTTTATTTCTATTTTTCGCTTTTTTTCGACTCAAATCCAATGCTACCTTACTTACTAATTAATCTACTGCGAACATTTTGGTGTACTTAAGAACTCGCTAGCACAACGGGCGCCGAGATACGAAAGTTGGTGCAGGCTGGGGGGTTCCTAGGCTCTTACCGCGGATCCAAAAATATTTACAAAAGGTGGGCACCCCCGAATATGATAGCCTCCCCCTCCAAACGCGTACCTTTGTTTTATTGGATGCAGCTCTTTTCTTTGAGGATGGTTCTTGAGTCGGCATCAAATCGAGCGAGTCAGCCTGCGATTCTAATAATTTTGTCTTCAATTTTTTAACATAGACTTACTCTGAAGACTGAACATATTCTGCGATACGCTGGCCTGCGACTGCGTAGCCATTTCTGCAAAAAAGAATAATGGCGACAAACTGCGGCTGGCACTTATGCAAAAAAACTTTGGTTCTGGACTTTTGGCGGGGGGATTTTTAGCAAGGGAAACCAGTTTTTGTTTTTCGCCTATACCTACCTGTTGATAACATCTCATGCATTTTTATGGTATTTTTAGTAGTTTTTGATTGCTAAAACGCCATAAAAAATAATTTGAAAATATTTTGAAAATCCGAAAATTTTGACCTTTTTGGCCATTTTTCATACATTTTGGACCAAAAGTCAATTTTTTATATTTTGATAAACTATCAGGTTGGTAGATAAGTCCTGTCACAAATTTTTGAAATCGCTCTATAAAGCCGCAGAAACGTCCAATTTTCACTTGCGATACATGATTTAATAGGTCTTCGGATGCTCTACCGTGGGTGCAGTCGGATAGGGTCTGGAAATTGTGGGTCGCCGAGATAACGGCCCTTGAAGATTTTTGAATAATTACGCAAAAGTGTTTTAGCGAGTTATCTCTGCATAGAGCAATTTGCCTGCGATACCTTTAACACCAATCGATAGCTCTCGAGGAGTAGATATCGATAGATGTTGAAATCATCAAAAACGGACATCAGATGGCCGAGATATGGTCCCTTGAAAGTTGGCCCATTTCTTAGAACTTTTCTCGAAATCCCATACATTTTGACAAAATCTTCTCGGTGCGAGCAAAAACCAATCGGCAAAGTTTGGCCCAAATGTGCAAAATGTATGGGATTTGGGGAAAAGTTCTAAGAAATGGGTTAAATTTCAAGGGGCCGTATCTCGGTCATCCGATGTCCGTTTTTGATGATCTCAACATCTATCGATATCTACCCCTCGAGAACTATCGATTGGTGTTAAAGGTATCGCATGCAAATTGCCATATGCAGAAATAACTCGCTCGAAAGCTGTGACTAGATTTTGAGCAAAACTTTTCGAAGCTGTATCTCGGTGACCAACGACTTTGGGGTCCTAGGAGGGTCATGCTGAGGTAGAGCGTCCGAAGACCTATCAAATCATGTATTGAAAGCCCAAATTGGATGTTTCAGTGGCTTCATAGAGCGATTTCAAAAAATTGTGACAGGACTTATCTACCAACCTGATATTTATATTCAAAAGGCGTTTTAAATGCTATCAAAATTATTTATGTTTTGCTAAAAAGCCGTACGGAATTACTGGGAAAAATTTATTTCCCCCTGTTACAAGCCCCCGCCCCCCTTACGTTCCAGAACAAAACGTTTTTTGGTTTGGCAAATGCTACCGAGTTAGGGGGGGGGGGGACGGGGATCTGCGACCTCGTGGAAATAAAAATGCCAAACCACATGGTGCTATAAAAAAGTTTCTGTTGCATTCGAGGCGTATCTGTATACGAAAAATATTCTCGCTGCGCCCCCGCGCCATGACGTTCCAGATCAAAATGGGACGGTAAAATCCTGACCGTTAAGAGCCTTGCTTCCCGAGTGCTGAGTTGGGGACGATTCATCCACGGCAGTAGTTAAATTCTGGAAGGTGGTTGGTAAAAAGACGAAGCAGTTACGTCCCAATCGAAACTAGGCAAAGCCGAGAAGATCTAACCTCTCGATTTTCACATTTTTCCTTTTTCGAAAGAAAGATTTGATCGGTTTTAACTTGATTCTGTGGTGTCTTCTCACCGGCTGTTAACAGAGCAGGAAGCCCAAGTTGCCAAATTTTTCCTCTTCCAAGGAGTGCCTTTTGAGTGTCATCGGCAAATCCCTTCGAGACCTAGCTCATTCGATAGAGAATTCAATTCTCAACAACCTCTCGCCGTCCATTTTTGCAGAATGCCTTTCTTTGAGTTTATAAAATTAAAAAACTAAAAAGAGAATTTATGCGTCCACGTCAGCACGTTGCTGCCCCGAGCCAGCCCGAAGGGGAAGAGGCCCTCCGGTCCCTTCTTCCCACCGCTAGACGTGGCGCAGTGGCTAGAGCGTCGGTCTTCCAAACTTTTTTGCTTCGGGTTGCTAGTTCGATTCCGTTATTGGTAATTACTTTTGCTTTTTGTTTTGTAAAAACACTTTTGACTTTCAGAGCGTTTTCAGAATCAGAATAATTGAAATTGGCCTTCACAGTCCCAGAGAAAATTTTGACCAGAGAAATGTCCTGATTTCTTCTCCTAGCCCTACGTGGAAACGTTGCTAATGCCTCCACCATGACCCAGAAATGCCTAAAAGGTGTGGAAATAGCATCAAGGTTCAAAACGCAAAAGGAAACATGCATAAAAGAACCGAACCTTCAACCAAAGGCAAAAAAAACTTTGTAGGCAGCAACGTGCTGACGTGGACGCATAAATTCTCTTTTTAGTTTTTTAATTTTATAAACTCAAAGAAAGGCATTCTGCAAAAATGGACGCCGAGAGGTTGTTCAGAATTAAATTCTCTATCGAATGAGATGAGAAATTTGCCGATGACACCCAAAAGGCACTCCTTGTTAGTAACCTCAAAAAGTTGTATTAATCTAGAAATGCTTAGTAACTTATTAGGAAGGCTTTTCATGATGGGCTCTGTTCTATTTCGAGCGGGGCGGGGCAGAACTGTGATATTTTCGTTATTTTATCGCGATTTTTGCAACGCCATTCGATAGGGCATCGAAAAATATACCACGAGTTGTTGTGTTAGCTCAAAATGCTGTAATAGAAGAAAGTCAGAGCAAAAACAAAAATAACTTTTGAAACGAGGGTTTGGCATGCCAGTTTTGGACACTTTCGATATTTTTCAAAATGTCTTTAACACTGATCGAAATTGCTATAGCAAAACAAGTAGCCAACCGCCACTTTTCACCCTTCACAGTCCCCCCCCGCGCTCGAAATAGAACAGTACCTCATGATGTTTTTCGTAAAAGGAAACTATACTTTATCCTACCTTATATAATTTTGGGGTGTATCTCTGTGTGTGTTTGTCCGGCCATCACTTTCAAGGCCCGATTTGAGGGCTTTCCAGTGTTCAAAATGCCCCAATTCTCCGTTGTGTCTCGGGGGGAATCGACCCTCCTCTTTGCGATGGCGTTTTCAGAATCGCGAAAAAATACAAGTTTACAAAGTTAAAGCCGGTTTTACTAAATTTTTGGGCGTCGCAGAGCTAATTTGCATAATGTGCAAAAATAGAAATTTCCTCGTTCTTGCCAGTTGCGCTCGCGAGTTTGGTCGGGGGAGGGGAGGGGTCCGAAAGACCCGAGCAATCGAAAAGTCAAAATTCTCATGGAAAGGCCTGATTCCAGCGCGCAAGGCCCGCGAAGCGGGTTTTGGGCGCTGGTCTAAAATAACTATCTAAAAACTTGAAAATTTTTTGAAAAATTCGTGATCTGGGTTGAGCTGGGCTGGTTCAGCACGTCAGGAACGAGGACGCCTATTTACAAACAGCTTTCAGACACACCGTTGCCGGCTTATTGTGCCCTGTAAACAGCTACGCGGAGGCCGTTATTTCTGGGAGACCCCGTATAATCAACGACGCCAAAAATGTTTAAAACCTGTGTAGTCGAACGCTACAAAAAGGTAATTACACGCCTGATGTTCTTCAACGGGAACCCAATCCTGGTCGAGGTCGGGGGAATCAACCTGAAAAATGCGAATTCGGAATTTTATCTACTGGGTGTCCCAAAAAACGCCCATCTGGAATTTCGCCGTGTTACAGCCAATCGGCCTCAAATTTGGACCAGAGGTGTATCATACCCTAAATCACACCAATCCTGACTTTTAGCCCCATTGCTACAGTAGTTGAAAGGTATAACAAAAATGAACTTTGATTTCGAGTTTTCATAGGGTTTCCGTGGAATTAGACCCCCTAAACATTAAGTGAAAATGATTAGGTAGGCCTTCTTTACCTTAAGAAATTTTTTTCCGGACTAAAATTAATGAAATAAGCGTTGATTTAAGCAATTCTTACAAGACAAAATTACCCAAGTTCTTAAGCGAAATTAGGGATTCGCAGCCGGAAGTCGATGCAAATCGATGCAAAGTCCAAAAAGATAGCCGAATAAACTATTTGGATTTACTTGAAAAACAGTATTTTGGCTATAAATTGTCCACTACTGTAGCGATCGGGTTCTAACCTACTCTTAACTTTGTTGTTATTTAGGGTCTGATACACCTCTGGTCCAAATTTGGGGCCGGTTGGATGTAACACGGCGAAATGCCAGATTGGTCGTTTTTTTGGGACACCCTGTATTATAACTAGAGATGTTAAGAATCAATTAACAAACAAGATTATTTGCATACAGTGGCAAAATATTATTTGATTTGGATGGGACTGAGCGCATGACCAAGTAAAATAATATTATTTGACTCCGCTTGCGACAGAACCAAGTAAGATTACTTGATCAAATAAAAGCTTTCCGGAATTACAACATTTTTCGGATTGTAATGAACTTTATGACATGATGATATGCTAATTTATTGCAATCGCAGCCCTATTGCCTGATTTGCATTGCGAATTTGCACAAAATCAAGTAATTTCGCTGAAAATCAACTAATTCTCCCAGATCAATCAAGATCAAGTAAATCAAATAATTTTATTTTACTTGATGTTTATTCATTCATAACTATTTTGTATTAAGCGTTTAGCAAATCCTGATTGCAGTTTCGGAATCCCCGTCGTCAACTTTATCAGACCCATATTTTTGCTAAGCGGTTTGCTGGGTTTTTTAATTGCACTTCCCTAGTAAGGGGGTACTAGATCATCTAACGGGGGGGACCAGCCCAGGATGCGCCACGTCCCTCGCGACAATCGACTACCGTACCAACCTCATTCGGGGGAATTTCCACAGCAGCAGTGGATGTAGCCGTCGCGGGAGTGGGTTTCTTCTTCAAAACTACGCTTTATGCGAATAGCAGGTAATCTACCGCATTCATAATGGCAACGGCCTTCGACTTTCTGGTCCGCCGCTGGCGATACCTTAAAAACTTAGGTGGGAACACGTCGTCGTAGTCGTCGGCCCTCCTCCCATCTGAGGATCCGGCTTTTGAACGACAATTATCCATACCTGCACTGAATGCTTTCGCATTACCCGGTGGGGGGGGGGATGATCAACTTCTCAGGTTGGAAAGAAAGTTATGGGCTACTGGACCGTTTGCGGGGGGATTTTTAGCATGGGGAAAATCACTTCTAGATTTCCGCTTATACCTACCCGTTGATAATAAATAATGTACTTTGTAGCGTTCTTAGTAGTCTTTGATTGTTAGAAAGGCATATAAATTTTGAAAAAAATTTGAATTTTTACCTTTTTTGGCCGTCTTTCAAACATTTTCAACCAAAAAGTTTAAAAAGTTCCAAAGTTTTATATTTTTTTATAAGCTACTTTATCTAAAAACCATCTAAAATGCAATGAAAATCGTTGATGTTTCGTTAAATGGGGCCGGGAATTGCCGGGAAAAAAGGTGGTTTCCCCCTGCTAAAATCCCGGTCTAACAGTCCAGTACCAGTAATGGCACGAAGTCTTTGCCCCGCTACAAGATCGTGCAAATATGTTGAATTAAAACAGTTTAGAAATGGTTTGGTAGGTTTTGGGACGCTCTATCTGGTTAGCACCCTCCTGCAGTTACTAATTACTTTAAATAAATAATATAAAAAATAAATAAATAAAAAAATAAAAATATAAACAAATTACTGCGAAATACAGCTGGAGAAGTTTTTGCTGAAAATCGGCTCACAGCTTTCAAGCAAGTTATCTCCGCACAACGTGATTTACATGCGATAACGTTAACACCAATTGAAAAACCTTCGGACCTTGAGAACGTCAAAATTGGACATTTTAGCCCATTTCTGAAAAAATTCTTTGGAAAAATGAGCTTTTATTAAGAAAATGCAGGAAGGAATTTTTTCCTTTAACGACGAAATGTGCACATGGGATTTCGTGAAAAATTCTAGGGAGTGGGCCAAATATGAAATGTTCGTAACTTGGTCATCCCGTGTACAATTTTGACGGTGCCAAGATCTAGGGACATCTGCTACTCGAGATCTTTCGATTGGTGTTAAAGGTATAGCATGCAAGTCACGTTATGCAGAGATAGCTCGCTCGATAGCCGTAAGCCGATTGTTAGCAACACTTCTCAAAGCCGTATGTCGACGCGCAGTACTTTTTGGGTTGCAAGAGGGTCTTAACCAGGTAGAGCTTGAAGAAAACCTATCAAACCATGTATATACCGTTACAATTTAATGGATCTGCGCAATCTGATACACTAGTGTTCATAATTATAAAGGCAGTCGAATTTTTTGAAAAATCTCAATTTCCAGCGGGTTTCAGGAAAAGCTTTCTTTTGCAGAAAAAACCCCAATTACATCTCAAATTCAAATATCAAGTCCATTTTTACATTCTAGGGCAAGCCATTTCTCTGTGAGGCTTTTTGTCGAAAATGGTGTTTGGAAAACGTTCATAATTTTAAAGGCACTTTACGTAAAAAAAATTCTTAAAATTCGGAAATCGATATCAGGTTGCTAGAAACCCTTTCAATAACCCTTGGCAGTAATATTTCACTTAAACAGATGAAAGAGACGGGTGTCCAAGCACTGATCAAGGATTGCGAGCAATTTTTTCCGCCAAACAAGGAAAGACGCTAAAAACACGCCAGTTCCTGCTCGCCAAGCCTTAATCCCGACGTAGAACTTGTTAATCATAAAGTGCCAGATATTCTCATTCACGTTTAAGCCAGGGGGAATAGGCTGACCAAATCAAAAATCAATTTCAAGGGGTCGACACCAAACCTGGAGCTTGTCTGGTTCGAGGAATCGAGTCTTTTTTTGGCCGACAAAAACCGTTTTAACTCGGATTTAGCCGAGAAGCGGCCGCACGGCTCGGTGCGGTACGTGATGCGCCAGCGCGGCCCGTTTCTTGGCCAAAATCGCGTCGAATCCGTTTGCAAAGCCGTATTTGACTGATGTAGCCGAGTTCAGAAAGATGTGATGTTCTAAGGGCTGACCGGATCCACTTTACCGGCCGCAAGAAGCCTTCCGGTGCTGATCCGGATAGATCTCCCAATTACTGGCACAACATAACCCCCGTTCTCATCAAAGAAAAACAACTGGGACAGAGTTACGGTATGGGTAGCCATTATCGTTCAAAGACGGTTAACCCGTTTATCGTTCAGACTCAAATGTCTCGAGACGACAATCGATACTTGCGGCGCCGAGTCGTGCGGCCGCTTCTCGGCTAAATCCGAGTTAAAACGGCTTTTTTCGGCCAAAGAAAGACTCGATTCCTCGAACCAGACAAGCTCCAGGTTTGGTGTCGACCCCTTGAAATTGATTTTTGATTTGGTCAGCCTATTCCCCCTGGCTTAAACGTGAATGAGAATATCTGGCACTTTATGATTAACAAGTTCTACGTCGGGATTAAGGCTTGGCGAGCAGGAACTGGCGTGTTTTTAGCGTCTTTCCTTGTTTGGCGGAAAAAATTGCTCGCAATCCTTGATCAGTGCTTGGACACCCGTCTCTTTCATCTGTTTAAGTGAAATATTACTGCCAAGGGTTATTGAAAGGGTTTCTAGCAACCTGATATCGATTTCCGAATTTTAAGAATTTTTTTTACGTAAAGTGCCTTTAAAATTATGAACGTTTTCCAAACACCATTTTCGACAAAAAGCCTCACAGAGAAATGGCTTGCCCTAGAATGTAAAAATGGACTTGATATTTGAATTTGAGATGCAATTGGGGTTTTTTCTGCAAAAGAAAGCTTTTCCTGAAACCCGCTGGAAATTGAGATTTTTCAAAAAATTCGACTGCCTTTATAATTATGAACACTAGTGTAGAGGGTCAATGATTTTGTGCCATAGCCTTCTTTCCAACCTCACACGTAAAAACTTTACGGATGTAACAACAAGAAAATATTGGGTTTTCCCCAAAAAAATGGATTTTCGATCTAAATTTGGGCAAAAACTTTTTCCAGGGTTGTCGGATGTTTTTCCTACTGAAAATAGAGTAAATTTTGCGCCGCTGTCTGCAGTCTTACCCATACCTTTTATATTCCACGACCAACAGTCCACCGAGCACCCAGAAAGTGATGATCAGCAGCGAGATGACTAGAATATGTCATCGTTGGTTAGAATCGATCACCGGTAAGGTCAAAGATTGCCGCAAGTACCGCCAGCACGTCCGCGTCCGTCAGCTCTCCCGAATTCCTACACGTAGAAACGTATTGTTTTATCTAGCACGGGTAAAATTTTATGTAACCAGAACAAACCCGAAATTATTTCGGGGGAATAATGAGGACCACTCAAACTTTTTTTTCATGATAAAACCATTTTTAAATATGCTTTTTTCGGGCTGTAAAAAAAAGCTCTTAGTATATTTTTCGGCCCTCTATCGAATGGCATTTTCAAAATATCGAAAATATTCAAAACGCCGAAAATTTGTTTCCCCCCGCCGCGTTATCCTATGTGCTGCCCATCGTTTTGAAAAATAGTTTTTAGGCTATAAAAGTTTTATAATACATTTTTTCGCGGCATTAGGATAAAAGGGCTTGGTCAGATCTGGAGGCTCCTAGAAGAGGCGGTAAATGCTAGTAAAATTTAAAAATAATGCAAAATCTCTTTAAAACTCGTTTTTCAGCAAAATTCATATGATTGATTTTAGAGAACAAATTATCGCGGATTTTTGAGCATAAAAACGGCCAATTCGGTCCATGAAATCTTCAGTTCTGGAAAAAGCCCGATTTTCGCGCATCAACCTGGGGAATTACGTGCTGTTTTGCTACATTCGGGGCTGCTAGGGTACCCAAAATCGGGGAAAATTTCACTTTACGGTAACTAAATAAAATGTCGATTTTTCGACTGGAATCGATAGATCTCGTCGAGTTCTACCATTTCCAGTTGAAAAAACTATTGGGACTCACTTCTAAAAAAAGTTATAAACATTTTAAATTGGCTAGTTCACTTTACGGTAACTAAATAAAATGTCGATTTTTCGACTGGAATCGATAGATCTCATCGAGTTCTTGCGTTTCCCATTGAAAAAACAATTGGGACTCGCTTTTAACAAAAGTTATAAACGATTTAAAGTGGTTCGTTCACTTTACGGTACCCTCGTAAAAATGTGATTTTTCACCTGGGATAAATAGATCTCGTCGAGTTCTAGCATTTACAGTTGAACAAACCTTTGGGAAAGTTGTTCGGAGGACGCTACACTATATTTTTGACATTTTTGACTGTGACATTGTCAGGCAAGGCGGGCCGTCGCTTCGGATGGCACGAAGCCTTTTTCTAGTCGCAGAGCGGAAGAAGTAGCGGTCACTTCCTTCCAAATTGAGTGACTCCTGTTGCAAAACCGTCTTTTTGATGTTTCAGAAATTCAGAAATTCGGATGCAGCGCAAAATGTGTGATAATAAAGTTTTCCTGCGCCTTTTGCAGCGGACCTGTATTTGGTACCCCTGTACGTTCACAACTATTACGTTTTTTCCGTACAAAGGAGTCCCTCGTAGCCGACACCGACTTTTTCGATGCGGGGCGAATTGGTTTAAAACAGCTATAACTTTTGTTAAAAGCGAGTCCCAATCGTTTTTTCAACGGGAAACGCAAGAACTCGATGAGATCTATCGATTCCAGTGGAAAAATCAACATTTTATTTAGTTACGGTAAAGTGAACTAGCCAATTTAAAATGTTTATAACTTTTTTTAGAAGCGAGTCCCAATAGTTTTTTTAACTGGAAATGGTAGAACTCGACGAGATCTATCGATTCCAGTCGAAAAATCGACATTTTATTTAGTTACCGTAAAGTGAAATTTAGCCCAAAATCGACTATTTTTTGTGCTGGTTCTGAAAATGAGCTCGTTTATTACCTAGGACGTCAGGTTCTCGAGATAAAAGTAAATTTTGTTGAAATTCATCCGGCAAACACCAAAATTTCGGGACCTGGGTAAAAAGTACGCTGAAAACGATACAATACAAACGAAAAGTTAAAACTTTTATTTTGCTAACTAGGGAAGTGCAAATAAAAAAACCCAGCAAACCGCTTAGCAAAAATAGGGGTCTGATAGAGTCGGCGACGGGGGAATCCGAAACTGCAATCAGAATTTGCTAAACGCTTAATACAAAATAGTTATGAGCATTTCAAGTTTTGCACTACAGGTCCGCTCTCCCTTATGAGCCCCTCCCAAAGAGCGGTGTCCACCTGTCGAGTGGTGTAGTGGCTAACTAGCATGCCTCTGGGGCGCAGGGTCTCTGGTTCGACTCCCCCGTCATGCAAAACTTTTTGCTTTTTGGTCAAAGTCAACAACTTTAGACTTTTTCAAAGTTTCAAAGTCGAAAAGGTCGTTCTCTTAATTTTTAAATTCATGAAACCGATTGCAAAGTGGTGGCGGGAGTGCCAGTACTCTTGCGGATAGGGCACTAAAAAATTCACTTCTATTTTTTCGTAAGGCAGGCCTAGACGCAGTCAATAATAAAGAAAATTTTAAAAAATCTAAATTTCGGACTTCGAAACTTTGAAAAAGTCTAAAGTTGTTGACTTTGACCAAAAAGCAAAAAGTTTTGCATGACCGGAGAGTCGAACCAGAGACTCTCCGCCCCAGAGGCATGCTAGTTAGCCAATACACCACTCGACAGGTGGACACCGCTCTTTGGGAGGGGCTCATAAGGGAGGGCGGGGAATGTAGTGCAAAACTTAAAATGCTCATAACTATTTTGTATTAAGCGTTTAGCAAATTCTGATTGCAGTTTCGGAATCCCCATCGCCGACTCTATCAGACCCATATTTTTGCTAAGCGGTTTGCTGGGTTTTTTATTTGCACTTCCCTAGTAAGTAATTATTATATGCTAAATTATCGGCAAACGAGGTGGTATACCGGTACTTTAAGCTACTCGATACGTTGCTACGTCATGCTACTCGTTACGTCGCTACGTCATTTGAATTATGCCGTAGCCGGCCTTCGCCCTGGACCTTCGTTGTTTAGCTGTAGCGGGTGTGGCGTTTTGAACCCACATTTACTTTTTTCACACATTATTTTTGCTTTCTGAGCCAACCCCAACCCCAACCCCAAGTCTCGGGGGAGTGATATTTCCGTGGGACAACGAGAAAAGTTCTGCGAAATCTGCCTGCCCCCCCCCCCTTTACGCGGCTGGCCACGAGCAGTTAGGAAATACCTCTGGATATCCATCGCGCCTGTAGTAGACAGAAGCAGGGCCCAAATAAGAAGGGCAGAATACGACCACATCGTAGAAAAACTGCCAATTCGTCAAGCCAACCAGTCTCAAAAAGTCGTTTCCGTTTTCGATATGGTAATTTCGAATTCGGTAAGAATACGCCGCATGTTAAAACAATCGATTGCGGCTGAAGTCATGTTTACCTCCCCCAGCCGCAGCTCTTCGGCCATAAGTCCTATATTGATGCGCCGAGTATTTCAAAATGGACGCCATGATTTGCCATGGTTTCTTACATAAAAAAATTGCTAAAGTGCTCCAAATAATTATAAAGGCAGTCAATTTTCCGAAAAATATCGATTTCCAAGGTGTTTCAAAAGCGTCCTTTTTGCAGAAAATAACTACAACTATATTCAATCACCGGCAGGGGCGTAGCCAAAAAAAAATTTCGGTGGGGGGCCCCCAAAAAATTTTTCCAAAAAACTCAAAACATTGACGGGAAAACCGAAGGTTTGAAAATTTTGAAAAAGGTTACATGGCTATACAAATAGCCGTAAAAACGTGAAAAAAATAGCGCAGCAGGTAGCAATATTCTTCAGAAAATAAAAATCATAAGGGTCCCCGCTTATGAAATTTTCGGGCCCGGCCGAATTTTAGCAATTTTTGAAGATTTTTGTCAAAAAAGCGCTATTGCAAAAAGCACATAATTATAAAGGTACACCTCGCAAAATCTTGTAAAAATACACTCTGTAGCAAACCATGGTAGCAATTCCGGTAGCCTTAGGCTAGACTATTTGTTTGAATCAGCTGACAGGGACGACTGTTCAAACTATGATGCGGGTTGCCAAGCAACGTTCTGTTCGAGGGGTGTTTCAATCCGAGTCAATCGGATGTTTCAGCCCAGTGCGCATCGTTTCCATTGTGAATTTAGCGTTTCCTGGGGCCCATTGCGTCTTTCGTTCATGATCATCACAATCACGTCAAGGGAAATCGCTGGCCGTGTCGGAAAGTTAATTTAAGAGTGTTGACAACAACGTTCGCTGCGGTTTGCACAATGAACGCACAAAACGCTTTTGATTCGGAAAGACCGTTTCGAAGTCAATTTTCGTCAGAAGACCGCCGAAGCGCTTGTAAGGAATGGTTTATTAGTGATCCTGGGTTTTCGAGTTGGGACCAAGCCTATTTTGTGCAGAATTTTACGCTGGTTCGGAAACCACTTTCAAAAAGTGCTGAAGGGCGATTTGAAAGATTTATAGGGTGTTTTAGTGCCCAAAGCGGTCAAAATAGCCCACTTTCAACCGCCTCAAAAACCCACAGAAATTTTTCTGATGAAATGATTTAGCACAGGTTGCTCAAAAAGCTGCTCTTTGTAATGAGACATCAGGAACAAGAATTGCTGATAAGTTGCGACTCACCAGCAAAAACAATTTTTGCACAAGGTGGTCATGTACATCGATTTGACAAAAATGTCATAAATTTGGAAAAGTTTGCATGTCATTTGAAGAGCAGTTTTTTTAGAGCAACTTCTGCTAAAATTTTTCAACAAAAACTTTTTCTGTGAGTTTCGGAGGCCCTTAAAGTAGGCTACTTTGACCTTTTTGGGCACTAGAACACCTCGTAAATCCTTCAAATTCGTCGTTCAGCACTTTTTTGAACACCGATTCGGGATCAGCGTAAAATTCTGCACAAAATAGGCTTTGTACCAACTCGAAAACCCATGATCGTTAAAAACCACTCCTTGTTAGCCGCATTGCTTAGCACTGGGGGGGGACTTGAGGTATTCTTTGCTTATCCCCTCCTTAAAGGGATACCCAACCTTTTTGGGGCTCAAAAAGCAAAAACCACGACGCGGGCGGGGGTCGAACCCGGGATCCCCGCTTTCAAGACCTGGATGCTATCCATTAGGCCATAGTGGCAAGCCATTGGGTGGGATCAGAACGCCACAAGGGGGAGAGGAGGCCGAATTCTGTGCGGCAATGGGCTCCCGTTGCCGCACAGAATTCGCGCGTCATTTGTACTACCCGGAATACATAACTATATATTTGCCGCCAAAACCTTTGGTATCCCTTTAAGGCCGCCGCAACGCGAGAGGGGCGGATAGCTGGCTCCGGAGCGGATGAAGCGGAAACGGAAGCTCCGGAACACAACTTATAACCTCCCCTCACCCCCTCTCTCCCCCCCTCTCTCTCTCTCTCTCTGATCGTCTGTGTCTCTCAATATTTGTGTCTCTCCTCCCCCTCAAAAAAAAAAGAAAGACTCAAAAAAATGATAGAGACAGACCGAAGGATATTTGCTCGAATCGATTCACCTACTCGCTAAACGATGCCTTGTCGATAAATATACGTTTTGGTGTGTGTACGGCACGCTACAATACGCTACAGTACGTCAGAGTACGTTACACTACGGGAAATTAGAGTACGCAGGATTCCGCTACTGGACATAACGCTACGCTACGGCACGATTCCCGGCGCCGTTCTATCTACGCTACAGTACGTGAGAGTTCGCTAGGGTATGCAAACGTACGCAGCAGTACGCCACGCTACGGCACCCCAAGATGCGATTTTCTTGCCTACGCTACGTAACGTGAGAGTACGAGTGAGAGAAAATGCGGGAAAATAGCCAAAAAGCAACCCCATTTTTCGGGTTGTTTTTCCTTTTGTTGTAACCTTCTTAAATTAAGGTGTTTTTAGCTAGAAATAAATTTTTAGCATATTTTATCTTGTTTTATCGCGATGATGTGGTCCCCAAGAAATGATTAAGACGAAACTCCCCCCTCCCTCCCCCGCTAACGAACCAGAACCGATTCATTTCAAAAATGCGGAAAAGTGCACTTTGCCACCCTGTGTATTTATTAGAAAGCATGACCGGGGGTAGAGTCAAATAAAAAGCAAGATTGGGGACATACAAAGAATGGATGGGGACATAGAAAAAGAGGCACATCAGGTGCTTACAATGGATATGGGGAGAGGGGGGGAGGGAATTCTGCAGCGGGAGGCGTCCCCGGCGTTCCATAGTCAGAGAGATGGTGGGTGATGGGGAGATCAAGTGTCAGTCTTCAGAACGATTTTGAAGACGTCGAGAAATCGATACATCCCCTCGTACACGGGTCGACCCATCGACTCAGCCACGATTGGCTAGCTTCTTGGCCAGATCTTCGAGCAACTTGTTCGCCACCATAATCGTATCTGCAAAATAGAAATTTATTAAAATTCTAGACATTATTCAACTTATGCTGCCGTTAATTGCATTCTATTTTAAATATTAAATGATACTCCTACCATCCATAGTCTGCAGGCGGCCATTTTCGACAAGGTTCTCGAGATCGATTCCCACATCAGAGATAAAATCCGGGTCTGTAAGGAAAGTCTGGCTGTAAAGTAACTGAAACATACAAATAATCGTAGAATTATCCAAGTTGTCGCAAAACGTGATGAAGTAGGGTTCCTTGGGGAAATTATCGTGCTCGCAGCGCTTCTGCACCATAACGGTGTTCATGTCGTGCGGGAACTTTTTGGTCCAGTTGGCCATCTTGTAAGGCAGCTCATCAACATCTAAAGCGCAAGTGATCAGGATTTTCAAAATCGATAAGGTTTCTAGATACGTATTGAACAAGAAAGGGTTGTTTAGGATCCAGGGCGGAGAGCTTTTCTTACGGCGCAAATGAGCAAATTTTTGCATTTTTTCAAAAACTTCAAAATCAAATATCAAAAAAAAAAATCAAAATAAAATTTCGGATTTTTTGTCTTAGCCAATAGAAACTTGTAAAACTACTTGTAAACTTGCATTAAAAATTAGGAAACTTGTAAGACAGTTATCTTGGCTGACAGAATTTGGCTAGCGACCAATCCGGCTGAAAATTTTTGTAAACTATTAAATACCTCCTCGGCACTTTTGATCAAAGCTACAAATCGATTTGCTCCAAAATAGCCAATTGATGGCGTCCTTTTTTAGTTGGACACCTTGTTAATTTCTAGTCTTACTATCAATTTTCAGTGTTGCTTAAGCAGATTCGAACTATGTATGTATTAAATAACCGACTTTCCACCTCGAGCATCCGGGTGGCAATGTGACACCAGCTGTCCAAAAATTGATCCTTCCGCTGTAGCGTTGCAATACCTCCACAATGTTTTTTGATCAACGCTGAAAATAGCCATGAATCAGAGTCCGGTTCCGTTTGCGGGAGTAAGCCAGACTTTAGCCAACCCATGATTTTGCAGTAAATTATTTTGGTAACCTGCGCCCAAAACCCGCTTCGCGGGCCTTCAGCGCTGGAATGCGGCCGTTGCATGAGAAATTTGACTTCCCGATAGCTCCGGGTCTTTCGGACCCCCTCCCTCCGTAAGACCAGACGCACGCGTGTAACTTGCAAGGATCAGGAAATTTGCATTTTTTTTCACACATCAAGCAAATTAGCCCTTCGGAACCCCAAAAATGAATAAAACAGGCTCTAACTTTGTAAACGTGTATTTTATCGAAATTCTGAGTACGCCATTGGAAACAGAAGGGTCGATTCCCCCCAGTGACGGAGAATTCGAGCATTTTATGCAGGGGAAGGCCCTCAAATCGGGCTTCGAAAGTGACATCCACACACACACACGCACACACAGAGATACACCTCAAAATTATATAAGGTAGGATATTTTCCTATTTTCTTCACAACCTAACACCGTACCATCGACATCTGGCGGCAATTTGGTGAATTGTTCAACAATACGGCGAGCCGAATCCTCAAAGATCCGAGCCCGTTCTGAAACAAGATGAAGAAAAAACCCTCTCGATTCATCGCATGATCAAATATATATCAAAAAATTTACCACCAGAGTTGAGACTCGTCCGGTCAACCAGCTGCAGGTCGAACAGGATGACGGCCACCTTGCGGGTAGACTCAGAAATAGCTAAAAATGACAACTGAAAATAGCAAGCATAGCTGTGTTACCATATAACAAATTTTTTTCGGCGAAAGCCTAGATTTTTGTATAAATTGCGGATGCGTTTCTAAATTGTTTTTAACTATTCCTGTGCATAAAAACTACACACATTTTAACCAAAAAAATGTAAAAAATTAAAAATTAGGTCGAAAAATAGGCCCAAAATGACCAAATTTTCGACTTTTTCAAACATTTTTCTAAATTTTTCTGAAAGTTATTCCGCTCTAAATATAGTTAAAACTTACTAAAAACAATTCGAAAACACTTTATATTTGATTACTAGGCCAACCGGGACCACCAGGAAAAAAATTGGTTTCCCCCCCCCGGGAATACTTTCCCCCCCCGGGAATCCTAAAGAACCCAATGTTCCTACTGGGTGTCCAAAGCAAAACTTCTAGCGGGCAGAAGGAAGCTTTGATTGGGATCATTTAAGTATCACTACAAAGTTTCCGAAAAGACGAAAAACGGGCGCCTTTCGTTTTTTTTAAACTTCTCGCGTGCTATTATACGTTTCACTACAAAACCGGCATCTTTTCGGCGCTAAATCTGCAATTAACTGCAAACGTCGCGCCGTATCCGCTGTTTTCGTGATTTGTGTTTTTCGGTCGTAAAATTAGTGAACGAAATTGCCTAATTCCAAAATCAAAAGGTGTTTGTTTTTTTCGTCTTTCCTAGAGCTTTCGATAGATACTAAAGTTGTGAAAATAAAACACGTTTTAAGCCGCAAGAGGAAAATGCGTTTTTGGATCCTTTACTTGCGTAGAAACATTCGAACTCGAGCCATTTTTTGTCAAATGTTGTAAAGTGGAAGAAATGGAGAATGAATGAAAGTCAAATGAAAGGCAAAAAGAACTGACGAGGCATCTTGGAGACAAATGCAGGTCACTTGCTGGAACAATGGCGACGAGCCATCCGAGGGATTTTTCGATTCCCTGAAAATGGAATTGTATATTTGGTGGTAAAGGTTGCTTAACGGGGGGGAACCATTTTGGTTCTTGTGTATTCCCGGGGGGGGGGGGAAGAATTCGCCAGGGGGAACCCGAACTTTTTTGGCCCAAGCCTACCTTTTTTATATAAATGGTGGAAGTGTTTCTAAATTTTTTATAGCTATTCCTAAGCATGAAAGCTTTACAAAATTTAATTAAAAATTTAATTTAGCTCGAAAATCAATTATTTTTTCGGCCCAAAATTGACCAAATTTTCGATTTTTCAAGCGTTTTCCTAACTTTTTAAAAAGTTTTTCCGATTCAAATAGGCTTAAATTTTGCTAAAAACAATGTGAAAACACTTTATATTTGATTACTATGCCCACCAGGGCCGACAGGAAAAAGTTGGTCCCCCCCCCGTGAATACACAAGTACCCCAGTTTTCTCTACAGGGTGTCCCAAAAAAAAAGACCCCCCCCAAAAATTTGAGCCAGAGGGCACCTACGGAGCTGAAAATTTGCACAGCGGTAGCGGAGGCAATTTTCTATGAACAAGGAAAGTTTCAGCCCGATCGTCCAGCGGGTTTTAAAGTTATAGCGAAAATACTTTTGATTTTTAATTTAATATGGGGATCTATGTAATTTGCATCAAAAATATGCGTTATTTTTGCATTTACGAGCCGATTTTGCATAAATTTTGACGAAAAACGCCAGTTGCTTCTTTGGGCTGTAGAAAAACGATTGCTCGTGGAGAGAAAAAATGGTTCGCAAGACCGCGGAACACAAGACGCGTTGATTGAAACAATTGTTGGACGCTAGAACTCAGCTTACACTTTGTCGTAAGCGTCAACCCAAGCCGAAAACTGAACCTAAGCAGTACTTAGGAGCTCATCAAACTCTGCTTCGGGACCGACGGGGTCATATTGGCAAAATGCCCCATAAGATATGATTTTGACCCTAGAAACAATCGTTTCCACACTCTTTTTGCTCTTCATACTCGATCGTTCTCACCGAGATCCAGTTGGCGAATGGCGTTTTTCGTCAAAATTTATGCAAAATCGGCTCGTAAATGCCAAAATAACGCATATTTTTGATGCAAATTACATAGATCCCCATATTAAATTAAAAATCAAAAGTATTTTCGCTATAACTTTAAAACCCGCTGGACGATCGGGCTGAAACTTTCCTTGTTCATAGAAAATTGCCTCCGCTACCGCTGTGCAAATTTTCAGCTCCGTAGGTGCCCTCTGGCTCAAATTTTTGGGGGGGTCTTTTTTTTTGGGACACCCTGTATACGGACCGGACGGGGATCGGATAGCGCGTCGAAAAATATCCTAATAGAATTAATTTCGGCCCGAAATACCATAATCTAAAATTATTGCTGGCTAAACTCCAGATACCCCCCCCCCAACCGACCCCCACCTACCGTATCTCGGCTCCATGTTCATCTACAGGTGTGTAAATTAAACGAAAATACTCGCCAAAGCAAGACGAACATTTTGGTATACTTTACACACCTGTAGATGAACAAGGAGCCGAGATACAAAAGTTGGGTGCCGGCTGGGGGGAGGGTTATCTGAAGTCTTCCCTTATTACTTTATTAAGCTAAAAATTTAATCAATTAAAAATCGTTACGAATGAGGTTTTATGGACTGAAATTCATTATTTTAATACAATTTTCGACGCTCTATTCGCTGGCGTTTTCAAAATAGCACGATATTCTTTATAAATACAAAAATTGTCCCCCCCCCCCGTTAAGCAACCTTTACCTATTTGGGTAACAGTGCACCTTGCTCTATATTTTAGATAAAGTCTCAATTTTAATAAAGATTCTAATACCGACTTTGTACTGTCCTTGATGTCGTGACCTTGTTTCGAGAGCTGCGCGCGTAGCAGCTTGTCCCAGGCGTGCGCTCCCACACTTCTCCCAATTCGATTGTCGCCGAAAGCCACGCTATAAAATGCCAGTATAAAAAATATTGATATGAATAATAGAAACCTCGAAAGGAAAAAATGATACCTCGCCAGAAGAATGGCACCGAGCAGCAGTTTTAGGCCCATCGTAGGATCGCGACGGGTCGAAAACGAATGATATTTTTCGCTGCATTTTTCGTTGGTTTTATACCAAAAATTACATTCAAATCTAGGCAGAAAACGGGAATTGAAATTTCACACGCAAATTCGGTTTATTCTTCCACTCCGGGCAAGGTATCCACAACGTTAGCATTGCGGTGTGAACGGTATCGCGAACTGAATGTAGGCTATCAGTAGAAAAAGGGCTACCTGAAATATTGAATTTTATTCAGGGTAAACCCTTTATTTAATTTGTGTTTTTTAAAACATGCAAAAACGTCGAAATGTTTGTTGATTTGTCTTTGATAATTGATATCGGAGACGAGAGCCCGCACAACGCGACCACCTCGGTTAATAAGAAAGTTTAAATAATGAATAATGTTGTAATACGGCGAAATGCCGGAGGGGTGCTTTTTTTTGGGACACCCTGTATACGTGAATTTATTGAAAAAAAATAGAGAACGTTCTCACTGCAAACAGAATTCCGACCATCTCGCCGAAAACCATTTCGCCGAAAAAGCATCTCGCCGAAAACCAGCCTGCCGAAAAACACTTCGCCGAAAACCATCTCGCCGAAAATCTAATTTTGTATTCAAATTTTTTTCGCGTAGTTGCGGCCATCCCCCAGGTCACGAAAAAGCAAGTAAAGCTGCTGTTTTTCAGGGTCTCTGTGCCCGGACACTTCCCCTATGATTTGAGGCCGAAAACCGATTGGCCCTGTCATAATCAGTGTTTTTCCAGTATTAGACCCAAATGGAACAAGCCTGAAAAAATTTGCATACAAAATTAGATTTTCGGCGAGATGGTCTTCGGCGAGATGGTTTTTCGGCCCGATGGTTTTCGGCGAACTGGTCCGATACCCTGCAAACAGGGCATTTAAAACGAACCGAAGCCCGCCTATATCCCACAAGGGGGTTGAACTCGCAAGTGAGCGAAAACCGACTAACCGGCTTGAACCAAACCACAAGTAAATGGCGGATGCTCTTTTCAGAGCTGTAAGTAAATTTCTTTCGACCCTAACTAGGGATGCCTTTCAACTTACCATCGAGTTTCGGCTTGAAAAATTGGTGACCTTTATAGAGTTTGAGGTTGCGATTCCGGTGCACTAAAAATTTCAAAAAAGCGTCCCCAGGCGGCTGAGGTCTAACAAGTTTAATTTTGGCAAAAATGCAGGATTTTGGAGGGTTTCGGGAGCTATTGATGTTGGGGGGGGGGGGGCATCTTTTTTTGGCGCCCAGTCTTAGGCTTAGGCTTAGCGTAGGTTTGGTTTTGGCTTAGCTTAGGTTTGTTCTAGACTTAGCTTAGGATTGGGCTTAAGCTTAGGCTTGGCTTAGATTATGCTTAGGCTGGGATTGGCTTGGTTAGCTTATACTTGGAGACAGGCTTTGGTCGGCAAAAAACCCCAAAAAAGATGCCCCCCCAACATCAATAGCCCTGCCTGGAGGTACGCCCTAGCTTCAAAAATTCCGGCAACCAACATTTTTTTGAAAAAATTTTGAATGTGTTTCTGCGAAAATTTTTCTGATTGTCTTGCTAGGGAAGCGCGTATACACCCGGACTGAGAATTGGCTGAAAATTTGCAGACTGATAGAATCGATCATGCTAATCGTTGTTGTTGTCCAAATTGGTACACAATGGATAACGGGGGGAAATAACGGGGGGCACTCAAACTTTATATATGATAAAAGTATTTTTAAATATGCTTTTTTCGGGCTGTAAAAAAAACTCTTAGTAGATTTTTCGGTCCTCTATCGAATGGCATTTTCAAAATATCGAAATTATTCAAAACGCCGAAAATCCCCCCCCCCCCCTGTTATCCTATGTGCTGCCCATGGTTTTCAAAAATAGTTTTTAGGCTATAAAACTTTTATAATACATTTTTTCGCGTTGTAAAAAAATCTCTTAGTATATGTTTTGATGTTCTATCGATTCGCGTTTTCAAAATATCGAAAATCTCAAAAATTTGGCTTCCCCCCGTTATCCTATGTGCTGCCCATGGATTTTGATCAATTTCTGTTTGGTCGATAGAAAAATTTAATTTACATTATTTCGGGATGAAATTAATTCTCCTAGGGCAGTTTTCGACGCTTTATCGAATGACATTTTCAAAATACCGAAAATTTCGAAAATTTGACTTCCCCCGTTATCCTATGTGCTGCCCATAGATTTTCCTCAATTTTTGTTTATTCATTAAAAAATTTCCATTACATTATTTCGGGCTTAAATTAATTCTTTTAGTATATTTTTCGACGTTCTATCGAATGGCACTCGCAAGATCCCTCAGTAATTGCAAATTTCATAATAATGAGTGCCCCCCGTTATTTCCCCCCCGTTACCCTATGTGTACCTCCAAATTTGCTACTGATCTTTAAAACGCGAGATATTGAGGTTTTAGTGTCGATTTTCGTCCTCGAGAAATGTTTTGCCATGATGCCTTGCTTTTTTATTTTGAAGTTCTAATTTATTTTAAAAAGCCTAATTTGCAAACGAGTGTCAATTCGACTCATTCGGGGATTGGCGGGACTCGGAGACGGTTGCTCAAATATTTCCCGTGGCGTTCGTTTTCCTAACGTAAATCGTAAGAATTTTGGAAATTATTATATCCAGGGTCCCTGTGTGTCAAAGGTCCCCGCAGAGAGGCCAGTGGTGAAAAGCCGCCTATCGGCTTTTCAACCCTGGTATTATCTTAAAATATCATTAAGCCGCCTATCGGGTATTTCTAATTATTTTTAGTATTTCAACCCTGCTATTATCTTGAAATCCCCCGAGCCTTTTCAATCCGGATTGTTTGGCACAAATTGAAAGCGGATTCGAAATCAAAAGAAAAATGCACGGCATTCATCTAGCATATCATCATTTGCAATGTCCTTCACCTTTCCACTGCATAAACTCCACGCTTACTGAATCGGTTAAGTCTTTCAATGACACACGTCTTTTTTGGCGCCGCATTTTGGCTGCAACTCGATCCGAGCTAATTCCCCAAAAAGACTGCTAGTACTCGGGGAGCTGAAAGGGGAGATGAAACGTTTTTCTTGATTGGTTCATCTCGTTTTCTAAACCAACTGCCGTTGAAGGGATTTGGCAAGCAGCCAGATGTAGAAAGCATCACTGGTGTCGCGTGTTGATTCAGTTACTTTTTGTGTCAGTCGACGATCCACGCGATCTCGTTTATCGAAACAATAAAACTATACTGCTTTGTTTAATGGGTGTAATCAAGCCTTAATCAAAAAAGTTGTTTATGCGCCACACGTGAAAAATCAGCAATGATTTGCGAGCTTACAACGTTAGAAGGGAAGCACGTAAGGTGTTGGGCGTTTTTAAATGGAGTCCAGCCTATCTTGTGCAGAATTTTTTGCTGATTGCTAACCGGCTCTCAATTATTTCCAACTAGCTCGTTTTAAAGTTATACAGGGTGTCCCATAAAAAAGCACCCCTCCGGCATTGCGCCGTATTACATCCGATCGGTCCGAAATTTGGACCAGAGGTGTATCAGACCTTAAATAACCACAATTTTGACTTACAGCCCGCCAGCTACAGTAATCTTCGAGATACAGCAAAAATAAGCTTTAATATCCGTTTATCATCTGGTTTTCGTCGAAATCGACCCTTCGAATGTTAAGTGAAAATAAAGTGGCAAGCCTGCTTTACCCCTAGAGATTTTTTCTGATAAAAATTAGTGAAATAACCGTTGATTTCAACAATTTTTGTAACGGAAAGTCACCCCCGATATTAAGCGAAATGAGGGATTCACAGACGGAAGTCGATGCAAAGTCCGAAAAGATAGCCGAAAAAACTGTGAAGAACCGCGTAAAAAACAGTATTTTAACGATAACTCGAAAACTACTGTAGCGATCGGGCTATAAATCAGGATTGTGGCTATTTAGGGTCTGATACATCTCCAGTCCAATTTTGGGGCTGTTGGGACGTAACACGGCGAAATGCCGGAGGGGTGCTTTTTTATGGGACACCCTGTATAGCGTCTCAAAGTTCCATTTTTTCCCAAATTTTTGTAACTCAAAGTGATTTACTTTGCCTGTTCCGGCAGATGTCTCAAGAACGAATATCGCCATCGTATTCAGAAACATTTTTCTACGGAATGAGCTTCTTAGGTGCAAATTGTTGAGAATCGAAACAATTACGATACTTAGTATGGCTTCCAATTTATTGCATAAAGTGTCAGCAAAAATTCTACCGGACTTTGGGCCCTAATAACTTTAGTTAAAAACATGATCGACTATGCCAAAATGCTCAAAATTTTCTGGAACTCCGATTGAACTCCACTTGATTTTTTTGGATTTTCCACGACGCACCAATACAAAAGACACCCAAAATGCGTGTTCCAGAAAAACGTGCGCTGCGCTCTTCCGGCATTTTTGATGTCCGGATCGGTACGATTCTTTTCGTGTAAATAGCTGCTAGGTGTAGCTATGGTCAGACTTATTTCAATTGGCAGATAAAACGCCTTTCAATAAATTGAATCTTAACTTTGGACGTTCATAAAATCCCAAATAGTCTTACGAATATTCCGAGATCTTACGAAGTGCTAACTACAGTAGAGTCTCTAAAGCCCCGCCGGCTCAAATATAAACTTAAAATCGCCATCACCATTCAAATCCGGCGAGTTGGCGAAAATTGAAGGCAGATGACATCGGAATCAGCAAAAATTCGGCACAAGATGGGCTGAGTCCCAATTGGAAAAGCCACCTTTACCTTCAGTGGTTCCCCTGTTAGGTCGGATCTCGGGCGGGGGTGGGGGGGGGGGAGAGGGACCAGTCCACGCAACACGTTACAGACAATCGTCACAGATACAGATGTATAATTTGGGTTCTGCAAAGTCCACAAGAACTTGGTATTCGGAGCTGAGAATGTCAACAATATACTTCGAGGGATTCTCAAGCCCCATAATGTCAGCGATCTCGTGCGCCATCTTGCGACCTTTCAGTCGCTCTTTTTTACTAATACGGCAATAGGCCATTGATTTAGAGTCG